GATTTTAATTGACGAAAGACGAAACTAGGTTTCGCGTTTCGTCAGCGCGAAACCTCGAGGTTTCGTCTAACAACTATTAACATAAGTACTATACCTAGCCATTTTTCTGCTTCTCGTTGGGTCATCTCTAAACATGATACACCACCTCCGATAGTCGGTGAGCGAAATTTGTGTATCATGTATTAGAAGTTCTGAATAACATAGTCAGGTACTCAAGAAGTATACAATAATGTTACTATATACAAAGCCGAAATTTTATTAAGATAATTAATACTTGTACCTTAAGTTGTTCGAAATAACGAATTGTATATACTGTATTCTAAAAATTCATATAATTTAATCATTTTTATTCGGTTTAAAAAAATTTTTCGTGCAAATTATATAATAATTTTGACATTTTAATTCGGTAAAAGTTTGATTTTTTTTTTGTTATCGATTATATTTAAAATTAGGTTTTTTCTGATAAAAATTCTGATTTGGTAAAAAGTATAATTAACATATGTTTGGCTTATTTACTAGTTCAAATATTAACGAAAATGATTTTGTTCACCATTTTTAACTGATTGGATAGTATCATTACATTGTATTAACTCTACATACGGTTCAAATAAGGTCTAGTATATGATTTAGGTTCTTTAATTTTTAGTAACAAGTGAGAGAAATTGATTTATTCAATGCTTAAAGGTTTTAATTTTATAAAACTTTATCAAAGATATAAATTTCTCTGAGAAAATAATTTACTCAGAACAGTCAAATGATCGATATAATTGAATTTGAATTTCTGAATAGCGAATATTTTGATATAAAAAACATTTTAACCAAGGTTGGCAACGGAGCCAATGGAGTACAAAAAACTAATATCCATTAGCTCCATTTACAGCTCCACTATCTTCATTCGCAGCTCCATTGGGCTCCATTTTCCAACCCAGATTTTAACATATATAATTAACCTTTGGATATCCGAAATAGATTCATATGCTGAAGGCGTTAGATTAACCCGTGGACTTCATTATATCGAGCCTTGACTGTAGAATATTGAGTAAATTATATTTTACTTTTAAAGTTTAGATCTTAATTATTAAAATTGATATGATGTAAGAAGTCTTAACAATTGTTTTACCTCAACATAGAAGCGAATGCTCAAAGTGATTTCTAAGTTTATTATAACTTCCAAAATTACCGTATTTGCGGAATAAAACTCCGGAGGTATTATAAAATATCCAAATATACCTGGCTATAATTCTAAGGATGGTACTATAATAGAGGCGGGTACTATACTAGGGGATATTGGGGTTGTAATACTATTGTTAATAGTTAAGAATTACGTTTTATCCGATTATAATACTTACATTTCTTACGTCATAAACCATACATTATACCCGAGATCTTTTACGTCAAGATTACTAAAAAAGGAAGCAAGAAGGGGGATATATTATTCCGTAAAATGCGATATCAGTGAATTTTTGAATTGCCTCTATGTAGATCTATAAGATCTAAAATCGAAACAATGACTTTTTGTATCATATTGGTTTTAAAATTGACAAATATGGGCAATACCTCCAGAACAGTAAAGCTTAGAAACCTTGATCCAGAAAATGAACTACCTAAGAAATGTTATTAGTGTTTATAAGGTTACATTGTACTAAATATATTAAAGTTGAATTCAAATATCTCTTTGCATAGGTAGAATATTATTCTTTGCATAATACCAAGAATTACCAATTATTGTAGATCATCTTGATTCAGACATGTGATCTTCCAACCATAGAAACTAATTCATTAGAAAGGATATTTATGGAAACATTGTATGCCGTATGATTTCTATACTAAAAAAAAAATTTATCATTTTTTTTTTTCCTTCATCTTATATAAAAAAACACGAAAATTTCTTTCGTCGTTTTATCAAATTAAATCGCGATGGATGGTTTTAATCAATTACGCAAATTACAATTTTATGCCGATCATTTTACTTTGGCTACAGACCGTTCCATAAAAATATATAAAATGAATTCACAACTTTTAACAAAAGAATCCCGAAAATCTTTCCATGATTTTATATACGCTTCGGTTCCTATAAAGTATGGATTGTTAAGTAACAAAGTAAAATTACATGTGCTACCTCATTACAAGAATCCAAGTTATTTTACACATCAAATATCATATAATACAAGAACTGACGCTTATTATGAGAATGATCTCAATGAGATGTCCTTTTTAATTAAAGATTCTGGATTTTTAAAGTATTGGCGTTCTGGAATGTTAGATTACGAAATGGTTGGTAAAAAATGGGAAGTAAAGGAAAATAGGTAAAATATTATATATTATATATATTAAAAGTTAGGAATTGTATATTTTCATTAAAGTTAGATTTTAAAAGTTTACACAAATTCTCTTAATAGATTGTATTTAGCAAAAGATCCTAGAAAGATTGAACAAAGTCAAGCAGAACTTCCAGCCTCAGCTATTTGGAAATTTGATTACAGGCCAGCAGAATTAGTTATTTCCAGTCTCAACATAAAATTTCAGAATAAAATTCATAATATAAATCAAAAACAAATGACAATAGAGTGGTCGATCTCACCTTTACCAACGAGAAAAAATCCGTGTCCTATTTGGAGTCCAATTAATGTCGAACCATCGCAGTTATATACTGAAAATGATTGGTGTACAAGTATAAATATCACGAAATATGTGAAAGGAGAATATGGATTTTTGTTACAAGCTTATATGAGTGGACCAATGGTGAAACTTTGGAGAAATAAGGAAATGTTTAATTGTTCTTTTAGTGATAACGCTCCAAGTTTTGGAATGAATTTGAATGTTGTTTTGAAAAGGGAAAAAGATATAAAATATGGAATATTGCCAAAGATAGATACGCATGATGAGAATGTAGAAAGGATGATATTGAATGATAAAACTTCAAGCGATTTTATCATTACTCTTGATAACTCTAGTAATAATAGTATGGATAACAATTCGCAAAGACATTCAGAGTCATTCTACGTTCATTCCAAAGTTTTATCACTTAGATCAGATTATTTTCGCGCGTTATTTAACTCAAAAATGATGGAATCAAATGACATGTCACTTTTACTCAAAGACGTATCTTGTAATATCTTTAGAACAATTCTTGATTATTTATACACAGGAAAAATTAATAATATCTCGACAATGGAAGAGTGGATCGACTTACTTTACGCGTCTTCAAGATTTTTGATTCCTTCATTAATCCAATTTTGTGAAAAGAATCTTGTGGGATTCATTAATGATCAGAATGCAGAAGAATTCACAAATATTTCAATAGAATGTGGTGCGCAACGATTACTTAAATATTGTGAATTTTTAGAAATAAAAACTGATAATGGGTTTGGTAAATATGATAATGGTGTGGACAAAAAGAATGAGCTGAAGAATCTCGGATCACGACCGTTGCTTGCAAAAATGAGATCAATGAGATCACTCGTTAAAAATAAAAGGTTTTAAGGACACTTCAATTTCTATTATTTAATAACAAAAAAAAAGACTTTACGATAGAATATTCAAAGACTGATCAAGCAGTGCTTAATCATAAATTTGATGCTAATATGTAAACAAAAATCAAATAATAAATAATGATTTGTACAATATTTAAAGCTTTCATTTCACATGCGAAATCATTTATCTTCCTTTTTGTGACCATGATTCTTCAATTATGGATAATATCGTGCTTTATGTGGTTTGACTAAAGCAATCTTTATTCTGCCACAATTTCTCTAAATAATGAAATTCGTACATACCTGTATTCACCTGCATTCATTATATGGGCTGCCGTCAATAGAGATCAGGCAGATTGACATTTTTTAAAAAACACAAACTTTCACAGCTCATATCTCGATAAATTTTGAAGCTAGTTTGATGACTTAATATTCAAAAGAAAGCTTAAATTCTAAACTTTCTTTTAAATATTGAATCATAAAATAGTTTCAAAATTCATGTGAGTTATGAGCTGTGAAAGTTGAGTGTATGGATTTTTTTTAAAAAATGTCAATCTGCCTTATTTCTATTGACGAAAAAATTTCTATTCTCTAAGTTATTTTAGAGATTTGGATTTTAGATCCTAATTAATATTATTATTAGCTTGATTGTAAAAACGAAAATTTTGAAAACAGTACCCAATCAAATAATAAATATTATATAAGTACATATATATTTAATTCGCAATAGTAATGACCTATAATTAATCAACTTCTTTTCTGAGTGTGCGTCGAATCTTTGATGTTCTTATTTACACTAATAATAATACCCAACAAGTAGTATTTTGATAATTTGAATTAATTTGATTTGTGTTTGAATTTGATTTATACAACTCTGTATTTAGATTTAAAATTGGTTGGAATTTTAAATTTTATCTTGTGTATTAAGAAAAAAAGGTCTTCTAGTTAGGGTAGTAACAGACATTACGTAATATTTTTTTACTATCCTCTCCCCCCTCCCCCACGTAGGAGAAATTTTGATTGGCTATTATAAATTTATATAACATAAGATATTGAAGACCGCCATAATTTGATTGTGTTTTACATTAACGAATCGGGATTATCTCGTATCCCCGTGTTCAGAACCAGATGAATTCGACTCTTCTCATTAAGAGGAATCGAATGGTATAGATTTCATCCGATTCTGATCGCAGGACCAAGAGATATCCCGTTTCGTCATAATAATTTTAACACGAAGAGGGTATTATGACGAATCGGAATTATCTCGTGATCCCGTGATCAGAATCGGATGAAATCTGAATTTCATCTGATTCTGGTCACGAGATCATGAGATAATCCCGATACCCTCTTCGTCATAATACCTTATAGAAATTGAATATATTCGCAGAAAATTTTTATAGTAAAAATTATTATGAGGCTGGGAACGACCGGGAATTTCCAAAAAGTTTGTCTTAGAAAAATAAGGCAATATATATACAATACATTTAGTGTTCGGCACAATCAAACAAAAATAGTCAAATACTAGTGATTAAGTCGGACATCAAGATCAACCAATACATATATATTAAGTTTTGTTGATTTGCGTCCGACTTAATCACAAGTATTTGACTGTCAAATTTTCGTTTGATTGTGCCGAGCACTAAATACATTAAAACCTCCCCAGAAGATGGGGGGATGTAAAACACAGAATCAAGTTGGCCTCGCCTAAATATTCCTGGTTTTATAAACCAAAAGATAATTAATTGCCTTAATAAAATAACCAAATAATTTTGATTATAAATCTTCAAATCAAATTAAATATTCTCCAGCTTGAATTTGAATTTGATTGATTGATTTGAAGATTTTGTATATGAATTTGATTTGAAATCATATCCTTAATCAAATCAAAACAAATAAATT